AGAGGCAGCAGAGATATTTTAAATCCTGTCCAAACTCCTCAGCTTCCTCAAGTCATCAAAAAGTCCTCACATTGCTTAAGACAGCAATACAGTCATGTACAGCTCCTGCAAACGTTAAATCTTCGCAGTTAGAATAAGCAGCATCAAACCCTGATGATATGGAAATCGTCCCACGAAACACACAATCTGTGAAAACAGAATCAAAAATACGGAAGAGCCCATGATATAAATGTAACACTCAGGATGCTGCAGCTGAGAGGTACTTAGGTTATTGGAGTGAAAAATTAAATTTCCTGTGGCTCTCACTTAGTCATAAGAGTGACAAGATGATTTCCCAGTTGTAAGCTAAATAAATTGCTCCAGCTTTGTTATCCTCAACAATATACATTACCTGGGACTTTACCTTTCACAAAGACTTCTTGCACTACTAATTATTAGCTACCAGAACTGCTGAACTTACATGCAAGAACTTGATACTTAGGGGCATGGAGAGAGCACTGCAGAAGCAGTAGTAAACTTTAGTAATGCAATCAGTAGTGGGAAGCATCAAGCCATTAATCACTGTGGGGGGTTTTGTTTTACAAGTCCACTGTGGAATTATCTATGGATAATACCTAGTTTTGTATCTGTTTTTAAAGTAGGACTATGGAACATCTTTTACTATACATATTAATTTTCCATTACATGTGAAAAAGGTCTCCTGCCAGTCTTGCCGAAAGATGATCAGATACATTGAAAAACACTGATACCCTTGAAGTAAGATCTGTTCATTATCAAGGCATTATGAAATTTTCATTAAGTGAATTAGCATTGCTGAGTTCAATTAAAAAGTAAAAATTGGCAGGTTATCTGTTTCTCTACAAAAAGCAGAGGAAAATATGAAATGGACCTTCATAAAAAAAAAATCAATTCCTCTTGTTTGAACTACAGTTATACAACAGTGCAGTATGAATTTCTTTGGGCACAGAGAGATATGATTTCTATTTATGATTTACAGGACCAAGCATGCTTACTCCAGAACCACAAACAGAAATACTGGGTTGAAATAGTTTAGGGGAGGGGATGATAATATGCTTTAAATTTTACTGCTCTTCCAGGTTTAAATTTTTTTTTTTTGAAAGAGACATTCAGGAGAATAGTGGTTAAGGAGAAATACATAAAAATGTATCAAAGAAAATTTGCACTCACCATCATAAAAAAAAATTATTTTTTTAACTTCTTTGAAGTATTGTAAAAAATCCCCAACACCTACAATCATGAGTTTGCCTGATTTAGTTTCTAAGAAGAAGGCATTAGGCATTATAAAGGCAAAACTTGCACAAGCCGAATCAGAGGTCGCTACAGCAATTGAATAAAGTAACGGGGAAAATCCTATTTGAAAATGACAAAACCAGAAACATGCATTTAGCAATCTGCTGCCATTTTTAAAACACGCTTTTCTTGCCTTCTTCTCTCTGAGGTGTATGAATACCAGCCACAACAAAAAATGCTGATTTCTCTGTATTCTTTCAGATTTTAATGTATGCTGACTGACCACAGAAATTATGTGTATTTGACTGGGGCAGAGGGGAAAATCATCCAGTAAAACTTTGTGTAGTGACAGTCTTGCCAAATCTAGCATGTTGAACAGGGCTCCACCAGATCTATTGGGATAACTCATTTTCTAAGAGACTAACTGCTTTTAGGGATGTGTTTACATTATTTTTGTGGAAATACTGGGATCTATGCACTTCAAACATGAGGATTAAGTTAGAAGGAATACAGTTCATTAATAAAGGTAGCTATTTATGTCCCTAGTTCAAGGAGCTAGGACTTTTACAGCAGTAAAGAAAAAAACCCCAATACCTAGAAATTAGGATAATCAAGACATAGTAACACTGTTCAAAAGTCTTTAGAAAAGCCACATCAGTTAAACACAGTTACAATCCATGACCTTGGCAGAGAACCCCCATAAAATGTTTTTAGCCTCCCTGTTAGATGCATTTGCAGTTCATAGCCAACACTAGTATAAGGCATAGAGTTGCATAAAATTTGCTCTCCTGGGCATCTAATAAATACAGCATAAATGATGCTTACAATTTTTTCTCTACTTGCACATTTAAAAAAAACTGCTTAGGACAATCAAAGTTAAGTTCTTTGGTGGTCATTTAGAAAAATGAACTATACATAGGTCATTGATCAGTTGTCCTATACTGAGGTAATTGGAGGAGTGCCGTAAGAAAGTTGTTACAAACAACGTTTGCCCATTTTCTCTGCCTAAAAGCAGCTCCCATGTTTTAATGTACGCAGTGTAGACCTCTACAGCAACCTGAGGAGATCCTGTTCAATAGCCCATCTTCATTCATTACCTACAGCAAGGCTGAGAGTTGTAAAGAGCTTGTATCCTACAATCAGGAAAGCAAAGACACTTCTATAATTATGTCCTGGAATATTACCTAGGGAGTCTACTGTAACATCAATATACTAAATGCTGCTGCACGTTAAAACATAGTGTAGCTTATGGAGAGCCAAAGAGAAAAAGAAATCAATTTATGAAGACTTGACAGATGCAATCTGAACATCATTAAAGGGGAGAATGTCAAGTACATTAAAATAAATAAAAAACCCAACAAACTTTCCATTGTTTGCATATGCTTTTCATGCAACAGCATGAAAATCATGTCATGTGGCAAAGGCATTTTGGTTTGGTTTTTATGGAAAACCTCAGAACATTTTACTTTTGTTCATTTACCAGAATTATCAGTTATGTCCACAGAGCTCCCAGATTGGTGCTTGTTGAACCTACAGCAGCAAGAGTATAAATTGCTACAAACTGGATATAAATTAAGCCTGTTTTGCTCATTTTTAATTTATTTCTTCTTCAATAAAACAATGAGGGGAATATATTTTACTGTCCAAGGGACAATTCCCATCTACTTGCCAAGGAACAACTCCTGTCATACTCAGAAGAAAGGGAGGGCAAAACCAGGATGCAGTACTTGACACTGGCCCCTTTATACGGAGAAAATAAGCTTTGGTAAAAACCAAATGAAACCTTAATCTGCTGCCTACAAGGAAAACATAAATAGCTATTAAGACACTCTTAACTCTTTCATAAATGGCAAAGTTACTCAACTAAGTCACGTGTTCCTTGTGCTGCAATTGACACATTGTTAGGACACAAATTATGTGCAAGGTTTCTGGCAGGTGGTGCAATGTAATCTCATCTCAAACATTTAACTAGGATTTTTTCATAGATATCTGAAAATTAGTTTTTTACTAGATTAACGATGTTGTGGAAAATTAACCAGAAAATTCAATTATGAACCACTCAACTAAGTCACGTGTTCCTTGTGCTGCAATTGACACATTGTTAGGACACAAATTATGTGCAAGGTTTCTGGCAGGTGGTGCAATGTAATCTCATCTCAAACATTTAACTAGGATTTTTTCATAGATATCTGAAAATTAGTTTTTTACTAGATTAACGATGTTGTGGAAAATTAACCAGAAAATTCAATTATGAACCTATGTTTCATTCAAGCAAACTGTAAATAACTTTACAAGCTCTAGCACAACCTCTAAACATAATGGTTTTCATTTTTTTAACCCGTTTAAACTCATGGATTGCTGTCTTGCATGTGATTCATCTTTGCATGCATAGTGTAAAACCTTAAGAGTTTGGTGCTTTTTAATTTTTCTGGTCTCACAATGTAGAAGTGCTGTCAAGAAACAAATTGATGACCTTTTAAAGAAATACACACAGATGCATTTTTAAATTAATAGTTAATTAGCAATGAATAAAAGCTTACCCCACAAAAATCAAATCAGCTGCTACATCTTAAACTTCTTCGTATGTATGATAAATAAAATTAATTTTTCCTGTTAAAACATTTCATTAGTCTTTCAACCTGCTTTTTCAACAACAGAATAAATAAAACCATTAGTGCCTAGAAGTTCAAATATGCTACAGATGTTTAAGATAACTGAATAACTACTTCAAAATGCACCATGAGAAAACTCTATCATTTTACATGCAGGAAGCCAATCGATATTTTTGTGAGGTACCAGTCTTTCAAGAATTCTCATAAGTTAGTTACCTGATATACCTTCTGTACATGATATATTTAAAAATCTAACTGTACAGTATTTCAATCATATATAATCTGCTGAATATGGCACAAATGCAAAGTTTCCATACCCACACACCCTTTGCCATAGAACACATTTTAGGCGTAACACAACACTGAAGAATAGAAAAGTGCCTGAAACTGGGGAGAAAACAAAACAAAAAAAGACACTCCAGTAGTAATAAATTAAATCTCATTCAAACCGATATAAAAGTTGTTCAAGTGTTTAAAGTATCAGATGTGTCATGCAACAGAACAACAGACAATTCAGGCAGGCACACCATGCATTATAGTTTGTATTCATGGTATCACAAGGTATCTCTCCCCACTTCTGCGTGGCCAGTGAGTGCTTGGTACCTGTGGCACTGCTAGGCTCACGTGCTCAACCTCCCAAACCTCTTGGGTTTTCTGCACAGGAGGTTTTAGGGCACTATGCCTCGGAAGGGTAACCGCACGGCCTCATGCTGTACAGTGGCATCTTGCTGCAGCATAAAGAGAGGCATACTGAGCTGCATGTAAGCAAAGCAATCATTTCTTGATTAAATTTTCCAGTCAGTGCAGTTCACTATCAATCAATTTACCAAACTGGGCTTATCCAAACTCGCCAATGCATATACCAAGAAAATATCCTCACAGAACATATCACCTTCTCCTTTTTTTTTTGGCACAAATCCATTTGTACTCTTGCAGCAAGTTCTTCACCATGCAAGAATTCAGAGATGCTAGCCTGTACAAACACCAGTGCTTATTCTTCCATAGAGTAAACTACAAAGACAGCTAAGTGCCTGCAACAGCTTTGCTTCTCCAGCAACTTTCCCTTCTCTAAGGACAGCACCAGCATAATTACACTTCAGACAAAGGGGTGTTCTTGCCGAGCTCTTTAATTCCCTGGAGAATTCGCTTCATATGACCCACTTTCGTTATCCCCAGGTCCTACAGAAATGCAAAAAAAAGAAAAAGAAAAAAAGAAGAGAAAAAGAAAAAGAAGGACATTTATTTACAAAAAGGGAAACCCCCCAGACCATTGATTATGATCTATCCATGCAACAGATGTCAAGAAATGAGCTCACTGCAATCAACATTAACCAGAAAGTGTTAGCAAGTGTTACCTAACAAAAAAACTGCTTTAAGTGTACAATGAATCCCTCTGTGCCTTGCATACAGAAAAGTACTTACCTGCAATAGTGAACTAAGGCACTCTAATATCTGTCAAAACCATCTTTGGCTCGACTTCTAAATACAAAAACCTTTCACAATTTCTGACCAAAAAAAAAATAAAAAAAAAGAAGAAAGAACAATCTCCCCCTCCTCTCTAATACAGCAATCAAATGCTTGGTAGGAGGTGATGGACTGGAGCTTCTGTCCAGTAATGCCACTTGATCTGAGGCCCTATGATGTCTACTTTAATCAACAAACAGACATATCCCCAGTTCCTCAAGGGAAAGTGGATGTAATGGCTACAGGCATGTAGGACAACTTCCCTTAAGAGAGCAATAGAAAAGGTAACCATTTTTTTTTTCATTCCACAAAGGTTAAATCTCCTAACATGGATCTTTCCTGATTAGAGAGCTGGAAGAAAAAATTTTCAGAGACATGACAGTCACATCCCAAAGGAAAAGGTAAAAAGCACAAGAGTAAATCTCCTTCTAGCCACCACTAAATCATTCACATCAGCTGAAATGTTTCAGTTATTGGTTTCTGGGACCCATCTCTGTATGAGACAACAGAAGAGATTTTTTTTTTTTTTTTTGCAGCAAACTTCTTCCAGTATTAGTAACAGCTTCAGCAGCATCCTTTTTCAATTCTGACTGGTCCAATGGTCAGAGGAGCAGAATGGGATGCACAACTGTGCTAATGATCCCCCACCACACTAATGAACTTTCAGCTCAGTTTGGTGGAAATCTGCTTCCCTTATCTGTAAAATCCAGCTAGGAAAGTCTTTAAAATCCTTGTGCTAGTGATGCTGAGCAATCGGCACAGTCAAACACCAGTTATTTGTAGAATAAGCCTTATGTAAATACATTGTGATTAAATAAATAAAACTTAGAAAAGTTTCACTGTCTACTTTTCTGAAAGAAAATCCTTTCATTTTAATTGGAAGATTTTTTTTTCCATTACAAAGACATTAAAAGGAAAGGAGTGTAATTAGGCAGCTTGAAAAAATTATTCTCATACAGAGTGGAAAACAAAACATTATATAATATTTCATACATACTCTATACAAAGATTGTATCTACCTTTCTAAAAACACAGAAACCTGAGAAAAATCTGTATTTTATATTAAAGTGTTAGCATGCAATTAATTTTGCATTTCACCAAAGAAAGAAAGGGGTGGTAAGATGGGTATGAATTAATTATTTTATTATAAGGATAGCACAGCCAAGATTAAACAGGTTGATCAATTTTCAGAGAGTCAAAATTGATTTCTGGTTATGTTAGAGATGAAATATACTTGGTTGTTTCTTCAGCTGAAAACTGTCAGCACTATAAATATGCAATCAGCCTTTACAGCATTTGGCACCTTTAATGTGGACAAAAAGAGTTCAAGATATATTCCTAAAAGTCCCCAAATCAAGTGCTGTTCATAAACCTATCTGAAAAAAACTCCTGACTTGCCACATCACATTAATTTATATTTTAATTTTGCTAATTGTAATCTCACTTATAAATGTAGCACGAATTTTTAAGTTAAGAGAAACACCATAGGTAGTTAAACTCATCCCAAAATTACAGTAATATTTATAATTTCATATTTGAAGAATATTTTCTTTTTTATGCTAAATGTACACATGACTATTGAAACTAATGAAATACCCTAGTTGCTATGTGGAACAAATTCTAGGTAAGGGAAAACCCATATGAATACTTTCCAAACCATGACAAGCCACATGTATTAAAGGTTAAGAATTTAAAATTCTTCAGAACAACCTTTTTTTCAGGAGTAGAACCTCTGTTGGATAAGCAACATAGTCAGATGCAGCCAGACTTCAAAGACCAGAGGAAAGAATCATATTATGAAATTCCTAGAAAACTCAGCCACTTTTTCCACCAACCTTTACAAAGTATCCTCAACAATGACTGTGTTTCAGAGGCAAGAGATTTTGGTTTTATTTCTCTTTTACTTGAAGTTGTTGTAATGCATATCAAAACAGCAAGTCTCAAGAGCCTCACCACAAATTTTAGGGACCCTTTTGGTAAATTCAGCTACACTTCAGGGGAAAAAAACCAAACTCAACCAACACTGGTTGATAAGACTCTGAATTTTTATGCTTGTGTAATAGTTTTTGGTTTGGTGGAAACTAGAATTTATACATTCCTGACACTAGATGCTATCCAGTATTCTCAGTTTATTGTTTGTGCAGGAAAGTTTTCAGAATTCTCTCATCTCAGTCTAAAAGCATCTGCTACATCTGCATATCATGCACCAATCAAAACAGAAGACCCCCAAATATTTCTGCATTTCTGCACATGCATCATCATCCTCTAGGTAATCTGTTCATATCTAATTGAACGTAATTAGCAAAAATTCAACTTGACTAAAATATGATATTGAAGACAATACTCTAGCCAGAGTCTGAGGTAAAAAAATAGCCTTCCTTTTTCCCCAGCTATGGCCTTAAAATTACAGGATCACCTCTCCTCCTCTCCCTAGCCACTTTGCCATTTCCAGGCCATTTTCTGATCAAATGTACCACCAATGTAATACTAGTAAGTAATCTACGTAAACACTCCTTAATATCAACATCTTCCAAATGAGAAATCTACCCTACTTGCATTCCCAGTGTAAAAAGCCATCTAACATGTCTAACAAATCTTACAAAACCTTTTCCATGCAAGAACTTTTTCAAAATACACTACTGTGAAACACAGGGATGAAGTGCCACAGTCCTCAGTATATATTTTAGCTTGACTGGCACTGCTCATGAAGGTGACATGTGGCATGGAAACCCTTTCTCCAAGGAAACCGACATTGCTACGGAGCTCTAAGGAGACATCATCTTCTCATCCTACCAAATGTGTTGCAGTCCTGATTATGACTAAGTTGCATGCATAGGAACGGGCTTATCAATGCTAAGAATGCCAGTATTTATTTCAGAAAAATCTAGTTTTCAATGAGTTTGCTTCTAAAATAAGGTTTAAAAAAAAGCCACACCAAGCTTTCTTTCTACAGTTTCTACAGCATAATTCACAGTTCACTGCCCAGCCATTCCTCAAGCAAAGGAACATCATATGGATGTAAAATTCTAAGATTCCCCTAAATAAAATCAGGCATGGGAGAAAGTGCATTACTGCAGGGGCTGGGTGGGAAGAGGTATTTGGTTCCACTTGGAAGTGTTCTCTATTTGCCAGTTGCCATACAGAACTAACTAAGAACAGGATCCACAAGCCATGCAGAAATATAATTAGAGGTGCCTAACTCTTTAGTCATCGTATCAATCTATTTCAGCAATGTGTGCAAAGGAACAGAGTTTCATCAAATCCTTTGTGACATGGCTTTTTATCTCTACTTTTGACCACAGAAGGAAAGGTGAATTTAGAGGATTCAATTAAAACAGGCAACAATTTTTCCTGTTGCAGACATGAAAGGTCATAGAGGTAAATATATTGCACATGACTTAGGACCTTATGAATCAATGGTGATCCCATTTAGCTTGTCAGGAAGCACAAACCTTGCACTGGAGGACAGGTTGTAGGCAGATTAGAGCTTGCAAGAGCACTGAAGACTCCTCTGCACACCTCAATAGCCAAAGGGAGGAAAGATTCAAAAGGCAGCTCCTGACATGTACCACATTATACATCTCGACACCAATTCAGGTCACTGGCAGAAAACTGCAGGCTGTCTGAGCAAGCTTTAATTGGCTCCTTGCAGAGATCATGCCCCATATGTAATCAACAGGATGAGCACTAAACTCTGCTATTTAAATTCAGCATTGTTACGTAGAGTGCAAGCTATGGTTGGCCAAAAGCCTGGCCTAGCTCATGAACAGCACTGTTTTGGAAGCTCTTAGCATCTGCTAATGAGCACATGGGGCAATTCTAGAATAAGATTTTGACTATCATAGGACATACTCTTGGCAATTTGTGTAGAGAAACTCCTTGCCCTATGTGTCTCCAGGCAACACTAGATAGAGGGGACAGTAGGCTCTGTAGACTCTTTGTAGGCCTGCTAAGACAAGCTTTTAGATATTTCATGGCACAGACCTTTGTGATGGGTTTTATTTACACTTAATCAGCACAAGTCTTAGCAACAAGGGTACCAGGCTGATGATTACCCTGCTGCAGATATTGACTTGGTTTAAATGCCAGGCTTCTGGGCATGCAGTCAAATTGGTACCCATGAGAAACAAGGCATGGCCAGAAGCCACATCTAGTTTAACACTGATCTTATCCACCATCATTTATTCTAACAAGCTGGACTTAAAAAAAAATTTTGTCAAGATTTTTTAACATTTTAGCAAACCTATGCATTGTCTAATGCTGAGTTTCCCAGTTGAGTTATAAACTTGTTCAGTGCCCATTCAGAACAGGGACTTGCAACATCCATCACTGGAACACTGTGGTGGATTGCTTGGACAGTTTTCTGTTTCCAAATTCTTGCAGGGAGAAACTGTCCTGAAATTGTCCCTCCATGTCAGGAACTATCCAAAGAAAGGAATTTAACTTCCATGGAAAGAAGCTTAGGTGATCTAATACCAAAGGGTAAAATAATACACAACAGCCAAACAGATTATATCAAATGCAGCTATCTTCAGCAGCTGCTTCTACTACAACAGTCACACAATGCAAACACCGCCTTATAATGCCAGGATTTCATACTATATAAGAAACTTTACATAAAACAGCACATTTGTATGAAAATATTGTATCTACCTGGAGACTACTGCACAGTGGCTAGAGCAATGACTTGCACTCTAAATGTAAATGTTTGCAATTTATACCATATCCTATTTCCTCTCTTATGTGCTAAAAGCAGTTGCAAAACACATTACCAAGAACTCATTACCACTGAGTTCCCAGAAAAAGTAATGTAATGAATCCCCAAAGATACAGCCTCTATTACATATAATGGATGCACTTAAGTAATTCTTGAAAAGGACCAGCAAGCTCAAATAACAGCCTCAGCCTGCTGGGTAACATTTCTTCCTGCAAAACCTACCAATCTGACCTCAGAGGAAGAAAGTTTTACAATTTTTGAGTGAAAAGAAAGAGCTCTTTTTTAAACCAATACAGATAAAATTAGGTAGAGGTCACCCTGGGACAAGAAAACCTATTGCAAAGGTCTATTTTGACACACAAACACCAACACCATGTAAGTCCAGTGCTGCAATTTATTAAGCTGCTTATCTCTCTCACACCCACTATATCAAACATGTATACAGTAAATCATCTGGAGCAGATCAGCTGCTCACAGCTGCTGACCTTGCAAGTAGATAGATTCAAAATTATTATCACCACCTTCAACTGATCCATACTGATCATTTTTAATGGAAACACAAACACCAACACCATGTAAGTCCAGTGCTGCAATTTATTAAGCTGCTTATCTCTCTCACACCCACTATATCAAACATGTATACAGTAAATCATCTGGAGCAGATCAGCTGCTCACAGCTGCTGACCTTGCAAGTAGATAGATTCAAAATTATTATCACCACCTTCAACTGATCCATACTGATCATTTTTAATGGAAAGGAAAGAAACACTGATGTCAATAAGATACCAAACATGCTTCTCCTGTGCCTTCTGACAAACTGTAATGCTATCATTTTACATGAAGTGCGAAAAAAGAAAATTCTGGATAACACAGACATTCTTGGTAGTAAGTTCAAGTCAGCACTTCAGAAATTCAGGCCAAAAGACAGCGCGCATTAGTTTATTGCATATTTGCACAGTGTAAGCCAAGCTACAAGCAGTGACAAGTGCAGGGAAAGAAGAAAAGTTGTTTGTTGTTTTGTCAAAGAAAACGGTCAATAGCAGAAAAGTAGCACAAAGGAAATACCTTAAGATCTCGCCTTTCCAGATGTAAAAGCTCAGAGCCTCGGATGTCATGGCTGATGAAGATTTCTTTGTACTCTCCCAAACTGAGCAGATCCAGCCAAGCAGCAACTTCATCTGTGCCCCATTTTTGAACTACCAAAGTTAAGAGCAAAACCCCCTTAATTTCTACATGCTCAAATGCATAAGAAGCAAAGGTTAGGCCAAAGAGAGTGGAAAACAGAGTAGAATAGCCGTGCTAGCAAAGGGAAAGGTTAGAGGTGTCATTTCCACAAAAACTGACAATTTCCTTTTTACATGCAGGTTACAGGTTAGCAGTTAACATGAGAAAGTATCTAAACAAAGTTGGGGTTCTTTGCTTTGCAGCCATGCTTACAGCTTTACTCCAGTTTCTTCAGTAAAGCCTTTCAAACCTCATGTCCCAACAAATTCACATTAAACCAGCTTAGGATCAGTGACGCAGTCTAATGTTGCTCTGCTTTACACCATTAATTTATTAGTAGTCATCCAGGGAGAGGAGAAGCCTTCAAAAACTAAGTAATATGTAAAATTAAAATAGCAACATTACCTCAAATATAGAAATGGCAGCAAGCAAGTCCAGTTTTAATTAACAGATTCTAGTATTCTTAATTAACACAAGTACTCTTTAAGCTACTGTGTTACACAGGCCATTAAGAAGCTCTCTGTAAAACATTGTTCTCTAAGGTTAGTTGCCCACATTAGTCCTATTAAGACCACATTTATTTCAAAAAATAGTTATGCTACTTATTGCTGTAATTTTTAAACTTCATTCAATGCTGATGAATTTCATAATGAAGTGAAATCTGAAGTCTAGTCTGAAAAAAGTCTGATCAACAACTGCAAGATTTTGCAGATTACAACCAATCATTCATTAAAAAGATAAAGATGCAAGAAACAGTTTTAGGACCATCTGATCACTGATTACCTCCTGGACAAAAGCTTAAGGAAGTAAGTTCATGGCTAAGAGTGGGAAGAGAGGAGAGTGGAGTTTGTTCAACTTCTAATCAAAACATCAGTATTGACTATCATGGTTTTTTGTTTGATCTCTCTCACTTGTTGAACTTATAACCCACCTGAAATTTAAGAATAACTGGTTAATTAAACCAGTGTGATAAAAGCTATTGCACACCTGAAATTAACCTGGAAAACCTGAGTTGGAGCTTCATGGGAAAACAGTGTTTATCCATGGCTTGTATGGTTATGAGTTAATCAAATGCAACCACCAGCAAAGGCACAGGTCCTAGATACAACTATCTAAGTATTTTCACAGTTGTTCTTTGGTTCAGTTAGAAGTATTGGGGTCCTACTGAATGCTTTCTAAGAGCACTGAAAGATATCTTTATCCTAATGAAGATGCCAGTTAGCTCAGTTGCATTTCACTTTGACTTTACCCGTAGGTAGAGCACATCATGTCACCTCTTACCAAAAAAACCCATAAAAATCACATTTTTCACAACTGCTACTATTTTTCTTGTCATTTCAAAACACATACCAGGCTGAGGGCTGGTCTTATGCTTCTGAACTTTTTCTTTTTTAAACTTTGGCACTATACGAAACACTGTACTTCTGTTGTTCCTTTTTGCATAATCCAGAGAGGGATCCTGCATGAAAGAAGAGGCATAGGTACCTTTAATTAACAGAAAATCACAGTTAAATTATATGCTTGTGATGGCAATTCATAGTTAATCTCAAAAACTAAGACCCAATTTTACTTCTATCAGGATTTAACTCTACGCATGCTCCATTTATTAAATGCCCATTCAAAACCTTTACATTCACAAAAGGGAATGAAACGCCAAAAAAAGCCCTAAGCCCAGAAGCTTGTTCGTAGCAGGCAGAAATGATCCAGCACCACTACTGAAACTGCCTCTCCAGATCATGAAAGATTCTAACTTACACTTCCCTATCAAAGGAAATTTAAGTTCAATTAGGAAGCACTAATCAAACTTACCTCATCATCATTTGGTTGAAAAACATAATAAAGCCAAGGAATCTCAGCAAGTTTTCTCAACTCTATTTCCACACTGTGCAAAGCATCAGACAACAGTTCGTCATGAGGAGCTTCTAACTGCTGTTTATAAAAAGGCCAGAAAAATAGTATTTTCAGTTTCATTGAGATTTAATGTTTAAATCCAGATAGGTTGTTATCACACACAGATGACTACTTTATGGTAACGGTAAACAAATGGTGAAAACAAATCATCTTCCAAAATTACACTTTCCTTCACAGGTGCATCAAACCACCCTGACACTACATTTGCCATGGTCCCAGCCAGAAAGGGATGACTGAGATGGCTGAGACTTTTGGTGCAGACCAGTTGAACCTGAATCACTGTCATCATTCACTGTACTCCTGAGACATCACAGAGCAAGAGTTGTAACACCACCACTAGAACACACTAGGAATGGAAACTACCAGCATAAGGGAGAGAAAACCTGACCAGAAGAGCAAGCACCTGGAAAATCTTTTTATGAAAAGTGGTGTAAAAACATTGAGTAGATGGCAATAAGCCTTATTCTTTGCAAAGGTATTCAGATGATGTGTCACTCTCATCTGATTAAGAGGAAATGGATCTTGCTTAAGATGCTCTGTTCCCAAAGGTCTTCCAGTGGTGATATGATACCTGCATTACCCCTTCTAAATAGGTGAGCCATGAAGCAGTAGACACTGCTGCTGTCTGAGGGTGGGAAGAACAACACAATTTCAGACCCTGAAAGGAGACAGCAAGTCAAGGACATCAGTGAAGGCCAAAGAGGAAAAGAAAGTGGTGGCAGTGTAAAAGTCTTGGGGCTTGCTGACTTAGGGGAATTTGGCTCTATTAACACTGAGAACCCCCTGGAGGTACCAGTTTTATTTAAAACTTCAGTCTGAAAACTATTCTGCAGCTGTTGCTTGAGTGAACCTGTGTGAAAGAGGTAAGGCAGGCACCTGATCCCCAGAGAAGCTGTTTTGAGTTTATCTGGGATCACTGAAACACCATTTTGAAGTAAAGAGTTGAATCCTAGAACAAGTTGCTTGGAATCACTAACGAAGCAATCTGAACATCTATTTCTCTCTTTAAAGTAAAAGTAGTCCCAAAGCAGTGCAGATTATCCTTTTGAAGGGATCTAATTACATTACATCCTAGTGAATGCATTTTTTAAATGAAGCTGTAAGAGAATCTTTGATCTCTTGTGCCAATAAAAAGATTTTGATGTTGTTGGGCTTTGGTGATAAATTACAAGCCCCCATTAATTTGTCCAACCTAACAAAAACTTCTTTCCTTTGCTTCAATACTTTGCATATGTTACCATCTTTCAAAGGAGAGACCATCTTTGGTAAGATCTTGCTGTCTAGTGTAGTAATACTGGAAATATAAGCTCTGTTTCCTATCATATTATTTTCTCTTCTAAAGCTGAGAAAACTCACTGCCCACAAGCAGGTTTGATCTTTCCTTTTTCCTACCTTTTTTTTTCTTCAATGTGAACAGTTCAGTTAATTTGAAACACAGTGGAAGAGCCACTTGCTTTTGAAAAAGTTACAGCTTCTCTTGTGTTTCCATTTTTGAGAAATTATTCAAGTCATCTATTTTCTATAAATAAATGAAGGAAAGAATTCTGTCTTTCTCAACAAGCATTTATCAAAGTGCTTGATTCTCAAAGGAAAACATTTTGCTTGGATACAAAAAAAAAAGCTCATCTGATGGTGCTCCTGAAATAAACCCAAAATAATAGTGCAATTCTGGCACAGAAATAATCAGCAATTTAGGGTAAATTCTCCTTCTACAACATCTTGGAAAATCTTATTTCCAAAATGCAAATTAACACTATGAGTGAAACCATGAAAACAAAGGGGTTTTTTCCAATTCATTCCCAATTAAATTTTTTAATATGAAAAAATTTTATTTCAGTGAGCTCAGATCATTTAATTCAGTTCACATGAAACATTGTCATACTTTTCCCTTAATATATTTGAAAACTGTGCTCTGTTCCAAACTGGAAATGCTTTTGAAAAATCAAAAATGGAAACAGTGCCTTTGGAAAGTATCTAGACAAAACATAGTATTTTTAATTTTTTCCAAACTCAATTCCAGCCATAACCATCTGAGAGATTCCATAAATCAGCAACATTGTCCCATTTTGAGCAGCCTGGTCTCGTAGAGGGTGCCCCTGCCCGTGGCAGGGGAGTTGGAACTAGACAATCTTTAAGGTCCCTTTCAACTCAAACCATTCTGTGACCCTATGATATTATAATTTCACTAAAAATTGTACTTATAGCTAATTCACCATTTGTTGTGATCTAACTCACACTGTTGTATGACCTTTGTTAATCGTATCTGACAGGAGGTGGCAGGAATTGTGGCATCATTGTATACATATTTACATTTCTTTTGTCTCCTTCAGAAGCCTTAACAGAAAGACTCAAGAGCCAGTAAATGGCAACCAAAGCAGCAGCTTACCATGCATCCTAGTTTAGCTGCTGTCTGGGGTTAAACTATGACACCAAGTAGTACATGCAACAAAGACATCAGTTTACTGCTATGATCAAATAATAGAGGGGTAAAGGAGAACTGAAGAGGGGAAAAACCCAATAGAGGAAGATTGAGAGAGAAAGAATGGCTGTCTTTATCAGAGGAGAAAGACACTTTGGAGAACAGTGTATGATGGGAGCAGACAATGCATCAAACACCACCTTACATTTCATCTGTTGCTATTTGAATAGAATGAGGAACCAATACACATGAAACTTCAGCATTTATAAAATACATGGCAATGAGGTTAACCAGGGTGCCTTGTTATTGTGACTGTGAAATACTGTTCTAAACAAGCAAGATGTCAAATGAGTGCAATGGACACCTCTGGAAGACTATCTTGGTATCTTCCAAACGGCCTTCTTATTAAAAAAAATGGGCTTGACAGAGAGTCATGAAGACATTTGCACAGACCATAACGAGAAACAGAAGTACAAAATGTAAATGTTCAGAAATGGAAAAATTAATCAAATTAAGCTTTGGAATCTGAACAAGGATCAATTCAACAACACAATGAGATCACAAACAGCTACAGGAAAGGTAATGTTTGAATGGAAAGGTTTCCATAATAACATGATTTCCAGACTGCCTTGATAAATTTCACCAGTCCTAGTATGGCATCACAACTTAAACCTTTCCTTCTAATTCATCTTCCTAAACTATTTTAAAACTTTAAATCTCCACTTACATTAGCAGTAAGTTAGTAATAAATCTGCTTTTGAATCTAAAGAAAACGTGACTGTTCTTACTGTGTATGTTCTCAATGTAAAACTGGACCAGCATAGAAAACCTGACATCTGTCTTCTCTTCACAATGTCACATACAGAAATTTTCTAGTTCTACATCCAGACAAAATTCTTGAGCAGCCCTCATCATTTCAGGCACAGAAACACTAGCCAAAGAAGATGCAAAGTCTGCAAGTACCATCAGGGGTTTACTGAACACTTACCAGTTACAGATCATAAAATAATTCCTGTCAGGTATTAGAACAAGGGTTAGATTTACTTGTCCAGATTAGACCTGCAGAAGTTGAATGTACGAGTTGAAACAGCTCTCACCCCAGGTTCTCCATAAACTCTGAAAATGGTCACATAGTAGTACTCCAGAAGTTCTCTTAAATGCTACATATCTCCAGCAGGTGATTTATCTTTTTCTAACACAGGCCTCCAAGGCAGCTGAGTGTGAATCAGCCTCAACAGGGATACGTATTTTTCTCTACTGACCATTAAAAAGAAGAGTCCAAGCAATGACCTAGCCATCTGAAGTGAGGCAAGATGGATGGCAACCCAGGACAAGAATTCAAAACTCATTCTGATCCAACCACAAACACAGTGTAATACCTCCTGTTGACCTTACAGAGCTTCTTGAAGCATGTCATGAAGTTAAAATTAAAAATCAGCAAAGAACAAATCACAGATAATATGAATGAAGGAATAAAACTATGTGCTTTGTGACCTTACCAAAGGAACTTTTCCTACTAGCAGAGATTCTGTTTCATTATGTAAGGCCTTCACATTAACAGCTATCTCCATGGCAGTGTTTCTGGTAAGGCTCTGGGGAAAAAGAAGCATAAACATTATTTGAAGTGATGCAAGTCAGGCTGAGAATAAGTACTTTGGGCTTAGAGTAGAGAACTTAAACCCCCTCTCCTAGGAGAAACATGTCAGTTTAGCTCTAGACCAACACCTTCTTCAACACTGAGAACAGAAAACAAAAATGTAGTATCTATTTATTGTCTTTTCCCCAACTTCATTTAGTATGGCCTTATACAAGACCATCAAGTGACCAGCCACCTCTGAGATGAATCCATGATTTTTATGGATGACAAAGGCCATCAGAAATGTTGTGGGTCTTATTTGACAGTGGTTGTTGAACTCAATTTTTCACCTTACTCTTAACAAAAGTAAGCTACTAGCCATACTTCAAAAAGCAAAAGTCAAGTCCTATATTCACCACATGTAAATTTAGGTTAGATATAGACAGCCTATACCTAATAAATCTTTTTTGAGTCCAGTCCATGAAAACAGATTATCCAGTGTGAAGAGAGAAACCAGGACACTAATTTCCCATCAGTACCTTTGCATTCACTGGATAGAACCTGGATAGCAATTAAGCATGAAAATTTCCATGAATGCATCCACAGAAATTGACCTTTATATAGTAACAGATCTAATTCATCCTTTGTCATGCCTCACTCTCTGAGGACATGCCTACACAGTTGTCTGCAGGCAGATGTGAGTTTACTTTGCCTATTGTTTTTGCTGCTTGCACCACCTCACTTGATTTAATAAGCACCTCACTTCAGGGGGAGCACCCCTGGCTGTGGACCACAGCTGCAGATGGAGCAAATAAATTCTTGACAGATTCCAGAAGGCAATGGTCATACTCTTACCACGTCCAAACTCCCCATCTCTTGTTTGACTGCTCACTCCCCACTGCAACAACACCCAGAGGGTCTGTGTTTTAAGTGTCATTAATGTCCCAACACCCAACATTCACATAAGAGACTATCGGCTGGGGAGGACACTGATGAATACAGAAACTGAATCTTCTGCCTTCTCATCCAACCTGTTTTAATATGGGGGCAGTGAGTACAATACAGCTCCTGTGTTACAAGCTTATGCACCCAGCTATTATATCTTATTTACTCATAGATAAATCTCTGTTTTTCCTTTACCTCAGGAAACCTTGGGTTGGCTTTATTTAATGCATGTGAACATGCATTAACAGCATGAGCAAGCTCCTGCTCCAAGAGGCCATGTATTTTTGCTGCTTCACAGATCCTACAAAAATAATAAAAAGGAGAATAATATTTCTTACTTTCTTTAGAGAATCATTCTTGAGCACAGAACTTTATCAGATGAGAAAATACACAAAGATGTGCTTCATCAAACACTTTTAAATAATACTTTATAACAAAAGTTGAAATGCAAGTATCTCTTCAAGCAATACAGCACCTCATATAATATCCATCACACAGATTATTTATGCTGCTACAAAATACTGAGATGCTTTTATTTGTCTTAGAACACTAATTCTATGCAAAAAAAAATAACAAAAATGTTGGGGCTGGTAATTCAAATAAGCTATAGAGGAAAACTCTAGCATAATAAAATAACTTGCTTGAAGTTATCTTAAAAACCACTACACCTATTTATCAAGGCATATCCTTGAGATGTGACATGAAAATTGGCTGCAATCATTTGAGATTATGGGATTGAGATTATGTAATTACAACTTCCAGAGCATCTCTAGAATCGTAAAGTTTTTTAACTGTCTTGGCTAAACTTCACTTTGGGTAATCGATAAACTAAATTATTCTTCCATGTCTACTTAGGTCACCAGTACAGTATAAAAAGAGTATGTAGCTCTTCAATTCCTTTCTGACATTATCGGGGATTTTGATGCTAAAAGTAAGTAGTTAGCATGATGAACTGAATAGCAGCTTCATAAAATGTTCTGATTTTTAAAAAAATCTTTACAAAAATTAAGGTTTTTTAAAAATTTTGGTGTGAAAATTGAAGTGTCTTCTTTATTAAAATATCTTCAACTCAGGAAGAAAGCAGTGCTTGAAAATAAGCAAGGCCACAGGATCAGTTTTATACCGTTATCATTATCCTCTCAACCATACAAATGACTGAACTGTTCATCCTGTTGACTTCTAAAGCTTTTTCCAATAATTATGTTTTTGCTTTTCCATGAAACAAGAATCTTCAGTCTCTGCAAAGATGCTTTCCAGTTTTCCATTTCCACTGCTACTTAACAGACTTGGTTTTTACAAGAAAAAAAACCCCAAACACACACAAATAAAATTACAGAAATACATAAGAAAAGCACAGATAAACAGGTTGAGCCTCAGAACTAAAATAAAAGTTTAAAATCAGAATAAAATAACTGATACAGTGGCAAAAAAACCAATCAAAAAACCCAGGGAAAATATACACTTCTAAGTCTGTGTATGCATTTGCATGAATAATTCAGTCTTGGTGTCTAGCTTGCCAATCCAAACTTATTTTTACTGTACCTGGTAATAAGTTCTTCTGCAGCTTGTGAGCACAGCTGGATCTGTGTAACTTCTTCTTCTGTAGCCAACTCAACAGCTTGCTGAGGGTACAGGGGAGATCGAATGACAGGTTTACAGGAATCATACTTCTGTTTATCTTCCCAAGACTTCAGGGTGTTTTCAAAGGCCTAATCAAAATGAATTATACATTCAGTTCACAGCATTTGGAGTATTCTTACTTATTAAAAATTTTAGTTTTACATTTTAGACAATATTTTAGTTAAAATGAATGTAACAAATAAACAACTGCTTGATTTAATTTTAGATAAATAATACAATCAGCATGAATAATAAGTTTACATTTAATTTTTTTAAACTTAGTATAAGTAACTTCTGACAGCTCTATCTCCTCCCCATCATCCTCAAAATGTGTCTTCCAACACAATAAGAACACAAAGACAGTGATAATGGTTGGACTCAGTGACGTTACAGGTCTTTTCAAACCTAACCAGATTCTGATTCTCTAATGCAAGAACATTTTGTGCAGGTAGCAAGACTGAAATCTGAAACTAATACAAGATTGAAACACTCAAAATGGTGGGGAAAGTTACAAATTTACTAAAATGGAGTTAAAATTCCATTAAATCCACCCTAAATTCAACATCCAGTCAGTGGACGGAGAACTGAGGGACAGTTACCACCTTTCACACAATAATCCTAGACAAGTATAAACTCCCAGTGACTTTGTGACAAGGTTCTCCTCTTGTCTCTTCTGTCTTAGACTGGGTCATGGGGGAGAGGAAGGATTAGTAGGACAGAGAGATAGAGTCAGGAGAGAAATGTGCAGAAAGCTCTTCTAGAAAATGGGCATAAGAAAACTTGGCTATTTATGCTACTGTGCTAAAAATTCTAGTATACAATTGGTGTAATACACCTCGAAGTAGTAGCATAAAAAGCAGTAGAGGAGAAGGGAAAGGAGGGACGAACAGATAAAATGTTGATCATTCTTACTACATATTAATATGGATACAGGAATAGCAGTAATAAAACCAATAAAAGCTAACAAAGCTTTGTCACTTACACAAAACAATAATTCTCTATCCCTCTTACTGTAGAAATTATATAACTGTAAGCAAGTGTATGAGTTACATAAATAGCCATAAAACATTTTTGCAAGCACTGTTTTGTTCATGTTATAACTGAACCACATTATTACAAAAACCGATGTTAGCAATGGTATCTCTTTCTGCAACATACTCTGTCTCGTGTTAGCATCTGAGCTCTGTTTTTATGTATGATCTTAATAACTCCTGGGGGCTGGATCCATGCCTCTCCATCGACTTGCACTGGAACTCCTTCATCACCAAGTATGGTGATCTTTACTGACCGACACTGGAAAAGAACAAACGTTATTTTATGGAGCAATAAATACGAATGAAACTGACAGGCCACCTGAAATTTGTTGATTACTAGGAGCTCTGGCTTCCCTCCAGGACTGTTGCAACAATTAAGCACTTTTATACTTCATTCATCATTGAAGACAATTTGTTACCCGTTAAAAGCAAAACAATGTCAGTGCGTTATTAATGTATAGGGTGGTGGTCATCAAGAGTACTCTACTTGCCAGCATCCCAAACTGCTGCCAACCACGTCGTGTGCTTGCAAGTAAAGAACAAACCTGAGCTATCCTGTGGTGCTGCAGTTTGATGACTCTTGAAACTGCCATCTGCATGCTGCCAAATACTGCAACAACTTCTAAGATTTTATCATCGAACGACGGAGCCCCAAATATCTGCAGAATAAAAAAAAGTATTCTATTTGTGATGGTAAATCTAGTGCTTAGACTGCATGTTCAATGAAACACAGATTTATTTGCATATTCATTTTTAACACTTAAATGCTCTAACTTATTTACTATGGAATAAGCACACTGTCTCTCCAGAGTCATAGGAGTAAGACACCACAGACTACAGGCAAAGATTATTTTAAAACAGCAATGCAAATAGAATTTCAAATATCTGAATGACAAGGCATATCCTTATATAGGAAGGATGGCATATTTCAGCACGCAGATTAAGAAATGTTTTTCATGGCAAGATAAAAGTCCAATTCAAATCTCTCCTTAGTTAATGGACTTAATATCTAAGAGGTTCTTGAGGCTAAGAGACGTAATAGTGCCCTGTTTGTCTCAGAAGTGCTTATCTTTGTATATTCTGAATTTTCTGGAAACCAACATCTGAGTCCACACTGCTTTGTTTAACACAGCTTTGATACTGAAGAGGATCCTGTTTGTGCTGTATATAATTATTCACTCTAAGTAGGAAAATAGCTGCTGTATGGAACAAATGTCCTCATATCCAGCCAAGGTGCTAAATTTAAACAAGCTCACACAAAGGGCAAGAAGTCTCATGTGCCATTGCCATCTGGTGTCCTGCTGGGGAGTTCAGCTGCAGGACAAGGCTTTGGCTGGAATTCAGCTGGGTCTGGCAGGTGATACCATACTAAGGTCACTTGAAGCTTGGCCATTTCATCTTGATATGCAATAGGGAGCAATGAGGGAGAAAAATCAGCAGGTGAAATCACTCCAGTAAGAGTTTAATGGATAGAGAGATCAACTCTCTAAGCACTACTTGGACTACCTCAGTTCACATCTTGGGCAGGCACAGCTGAGACCAGACTGGAGAAAAACCCTTAAAGAAGCACAAAGGCACAACTAGTTAGGTCCTAGCCCCTGACGGAAGATTTCCTGGAGGTGAAGAATAAGAGGATGCAGATCCAGTACTGTGTAATCTACACGTAGTGTCTGCAGCAATAGCTGAGGGAGGGAGAGGAAGGAGATCAGCGTGAGGGACTTTGGTCCCTGCTGCCCACCAAGCCAGGGAGAGCCACCTTCACCCCAGTGCAGTGAGCAGTGGTTTTGGCCAGGAGGCTGAGGAGGACTTCTCAGGGAAAGGGCTGCACATCACAGTTGCTACAGTTTGTCTCATATCCAGGTAGCACATCCCTTCAGAGTATTCCAGGACTGCACAGATAGATCAGATCTTGAGCAGGTAAGTGTCAAAGAATTAAAGTGTAATTTTACTGGATCTAGATTGTTTTGAAGGAAAAATTTCCATTTTTCATATGAGTATGTGAACAGCTTGCAAAGAGCAAAGACAGTGATTCTGTTATTCCAAAGTAAAAAGTATGGAGAGTTTTTTATCCAGTAACTGACATCTACAGTGCTAGTTCTTGCATGAGTTAAGAAAAAGTAGTTGTGAAATTTCATTTATTACGTGTTTCCATTTTACCAAAAGGACAGGCAAACCACAACCGAGTCTATTACCTCTCCACCAACAATATCTGAACTGAAAACCAAACTTTGTTTTTAAAAAACCTTTTTTTTTTTTTTTTTTTTTTTTAAAAGTCAACATTCAAGTTGACTCCTTTTGTGTTCCAGGCCATATCTCCAGTCTGTGTTCTGGACACCAAAAAAAGGTGCCTTAACAAGCCCTGCTCAAGCCAGTTTGCAAGCCAAGTCAGCAGCTGCACTGCTTGGCTCACTACTAACATTTCAGGAATAGTCACAGCTGTCAAGGCAACATCTTTCTTTTGTCCATTTGTCCAGAGAATCAGAACCAGCAGCACTTCAGAGCACCACCACCACCTCTTGATGATCAGTCATTCAAGATTGCACTGAAGCAGTGAATTATGCTCCTAACTCTGCCCAGAGCAAACATGTTAGCGCTTCTTTCAAGTTATGAATATGAACATGGAAAAAATAAAAATTTTAGGTATCCACAGCCAAATAAAAACACAACTACCATCCTCTGACATACCAAAAATAAGAATGGGACATCGAAGCATTTTTAAATGTCCTTTTTCACTTGTTTTATATATGTGTGTATATCTATACAAACGTAAAGCATATATGTGTGCACATATATTTGCATTATACAATACATAATAGATAATAATATGCTATTAATATATAGCATATAGTGTATCTAATACATATCCTATTACATATTATAATGATATGTAACTGTATTATTGAGACTATATATGCACTGTACAATAGATATATATATATATACATATAAAGCATATAATATGTATACATATATAAGCAAAGGATAACAACTCACAAGAAACCCAGAACTCTTTGGCAAAAAAGAACTCCTGGATTGTCTACACTAGAATCACAAGCCAGTTTGCAGCTACAGTTTTAGGCAATTCACACCTCACACACTCTAAATCAGGACATGCAGGACTAGGATGATCTGCTAGTAATTATAGTTGTTGCACTGTGTGCAAAGGGGATAGAAGAAGTAACACTGCTCCAAGTTGTGAGTCATTTAGGAATCCATATAGTGTAATGGTCCTCAGGAGATGAAAGGAAGAAGGGAAAAAAGGTACCTTGAAGTATTTTAGAAGCTCATTGACAATATTTAAAAATCAGTTTACTAATCCAATGAAATTATCAGTCACTGAATGCATCAGTCCTCATTTTCTGAATCACCAACCCTTACAGCAATGCTGTTTGAATAACAGGAGGAAAATTCAGGTATAAACTGTGACTGATTATCCTGTCCACCTTGCTTATTGTTAGAATATAGCAAGCAGAGGAATCTATGCTTTGAGAAATCCTATTTACAGGTGCCTGTAAAACAATATAGAGAGAAATTATTTCTGCCTCTGTTTATAAAATTAGTTTCTAAAAATACTCATAGAGCCATTTAAAAAAATCATTATGCTTTATTATGAACATTTTGCTGGAATGGACATGATAGAAGACAATAGATAGTGAAAAATCATGCGACATATTTTCAGTAAAAAAAAAAAAATCAACAAGACAATACAGGTTAAACTGAGACAGCCTCCCAGAATAAGAGTTGTTATCCAAACTATATGCTACTACTATTAAAATCACATGACAAGAGCAGTTCATGATATTTATTGCGGGTTTCGCCCAGTAGCTTACTTCTCTTTAATGTTACTTACATCATCTTCTTTGGTTCCACCCCAGAAATTAGTCCCACCAGCATAGCTGGGAATGTTTAGCACAGCTATGCCCTGCAGGCTTGGCAGGGGGATGTACTGTCCATCACACTGTAAGGGATAAAATCTCATTCAGTATATAAATAATATGATACAAATAATCAACTATTTTTAATACATGAACCTTCAACAGAGCTGGCAGGACAGGACAGAGTCATTAACAGGTCTGACACAGAATTATTCCCTCTATGCTGTGAAGCAGCTCTATAACAAACCTGCCCAATCTTCCGAACCATTTGTGCAGAGCTGAAAAACATGTAGATCTACATGCTATAGTACCTACAGCAGTAGCGTTACACGACTCTTCAAAGAAACACTTTCACATCCCTTGCCAAGAAATTCCTCACGCACTTAGACCATGGTCTGAGTATCGAGGATTAAAAACCTTTTTGCCGTGAAAAAAACCAATCTCCCTTGCATGCAGACAGTAACACTGCCATGGACACTACAAAAAGATTCATTTACCCATTCAGTAACTAGTCTTCCATCCTATACCAGCACTCCCAAAATTGCAACATACTCGTTATTTAGGTAAATCCATTAAGCTGGGGATGAGGCAGGTGTGTGCATCAAAAATATCAGAGAATATTTCTGGCCCAGCCACAAACGTGGTGAATAGCCAGTGTTGTTAGCATGCATTGTTGACTTCCTGTAAGAATAACTTCACTCTCCTCCCAAAAGTGCAAAGACAAATCTAGGATGAGTCCACAGTTGCTACCCTGGCCATGGCTAAGAGATGTTGATTTTGCAGGTAAGAAGTTGCTCCTGTGTCCAGCAGTTCAGCCCTTCTTTCTTACTGCTTTATCTTCCAACACCCATAAGTAACTCCAAGTCCTACTCTGCACAATCACAGGATGATGTAGGTCAATCCCACCTTACTTTAGGCCAGGAGTAAATTTACAGACACCAGTGAAATCACTCTTGACTTACAGCAGTACAAGTGCCTGCAGAGGTGAGCCCAGTGATCTCAAACCATTCCCTGGGAGACAGAAGTGAAGCCCTGCAGCAGTGCCACAGGCATGGATTTGCAGAAGGTTATTAACAAAAAGCCATAAGTGCCGGACCCAAATGTCATTTTATGGATCATGATGTTGCAGGTCAAGTTGCCTTTAAAGAAGATTGCTAGCTTACTGTATGTTCTGAGTCCCACAGAAGGATCTTAATATTATACAAATTAAAGAGAAATCCCCAGGAAACAAGGACAAAATCTGTAGCAATTTTATCAGGAGGAGAAAGAGATGCAAAATTATTTCCAGAATGTGCTTAGTGTACTCTTTTAATGCTTTGATCTCAGCAACAAGCCAGCATTCAACATTTTAATCAAGATGTGACAGTATCCAAAATATAATGCAATATTAATAGATGCTGCACAGCCATTTGTATCATAGCAGAGGTCTGCCTCCCACTCCTGAATAAGGCTAATATTATGCAAGGCAATAATAAATATGAAATTTCAACTTGCTGGCTTGCTTCCAGAAATATTAAAAAATTATTATGGAAAGGTCAGTGGTGAATGCATTACTGAACCTTATTTGAATCTGATTCAAAAGATCCTGAAATTAGAATTCTATCTGCAGCATACATAATGTTCTCTCCTGTCATTATATTTGCTAACTCCTGCATAACTCCTTGATAATTACTCAATCCTTAGCTAGCAGGAATCTGCTGCAACCAGACAAAATCCTCCTAAATCTCGGATGAGTGAGAAAGAGTTCCAGTAACCTAGAATTATTCATAGAATCATCAAGGTTGGAGGAGACCTCTAAGATCATTAAGTCCAATGATTAGCCTGTCACTCTGCTGTAACCCCTAACCATATCCTCCAGCACCAGATCAATGCCTCTTAAACACTTTCAGGGATGGTGACTCCACCACCTCCCTGGGCAACATATTCCAGTGCCTGACCACCCTAACAGAGAAATTTTTTTTCCTAATATCTAATCTGACTCTCTTCTGCCTCAGCTTATGGCTATTCCCTCTAGTCCTCTCACTGCAGGCATGGCAGAAGAGACCACCCCCCACCTCCCTACAACCCGTTTCAGGTAGTTGTAGAGAGCCATGAAGTCACTCCTGAACCACCTCTTCTCAAGGCTAAACAAATCCAATTCCCTCAGCTGTTCCTCATATGACATGTGTTCTAGACCTTTTATGAGCCTTATTGCCCTTTGCTGGATTTGCTCCCATGCCTCAATGTCTTTTTAAAGTGAGGGGCCCAAAACTGAAAACAGTGTTCTTTCAACATAAAAAGTTACCCTTCCATAAATATCACAAACTTCCGTATGAAATACTTAGCATGAAGTAAAAAGAGAAATTATGTATGTTCTCTGTCAAAATCCAGCTTAGATATTAATGGTAACCATCCTGTAGTCAACTTATGCATTTGTTAAATCACTGCAACCTCCTTTAAGCTCCCAGTATCATGACGAAGACTTAGATTTCATGCTAGAACTTAAAAGACAAAAAATAACTATGTTTAGACATCACATTTGTTGTTGCTGTGATAATATCTTGCTTCTTTTGTGTCACTGTCTCTGACACTTTCTCTAGTGGCTGTCTACTTGTGTAGCTGGGCTTCTTGTGATGCACATTCAGAATCTTCTCTCTTTTGTCAGGAATCTTGAACTGTGTGCTTTCCCTATACATGCACCCAAGCTTTCAGATACTTTAAAATGAACCTGTCTCCCTTTTGATGCAATCAACATTAAGAACTATATCCTACCTATACAATTACTATTTTTTTCAACCCAGTAATTACAAGAAACATTATACTGGGTATTTTGTGATCTTTAAGTACTGACATTTTACTCAGAAAAAACCACTGGAGAATCAACTTTTACATAGCACGTCTTTACTCAGTGCCTTTGAGGTCAGCTTGGGTTGACACAAGGACTCTTAAAGGTTTGCAAAAGATGCCTATACTCTTGACTAGGCATTGTGGAAGTAAAAATGCTCATTCTGGCCATAAACAAAATTTACCTCAAGTTGAACTTTCTGTTCTAAGTTCTTGTAAGTTCTCTGCAGTAGCTCTTTTGTGCCAAGAACTCCATACCACATCATGTTTTTCGTCCGACTTCTGAAAGCAGGCAAAACAAGACTCATATAGAGAAATACACACATTATTATGTCTAGTGTTTGTAGGAAGATAAAAAGTTAAGAAATTCAAATAAAGAGATAAGGAAAAGAATGAAAACATGTTGGCTCTGTTACTGACAAGCATATTACCTGCACTTTTCAGGGTGCTCTTCTCGCTTGTTATTAAATTCTAGTGAAATTTTTGCATCTAACCCAATTCCAAAGTAGTTGTTCATGACACATTTTTCTGAATATCCCTCCCTGTTAGAGGAAAAGAGATGATTAGGTGCATATTTATACAGAACCTGGACACACAGACATCTTTGACCAAAACTGTGGTTGGTCTTAGAACAGATGTATCAACCAAGAGACTTCAAGAGATCTTTACTCTGAATCTCCCTGATGAAACCCACGAGTGGTGAAAGCGACAGGCTGGCTGATAGCTCCATCGCAACTGCAAGCTACTTCCCCTAGGGCAAAGGAGAAACTGCACCACACCCTCATCCCGTACTATCTCAACTATACCCAAGACAACAGTGGGATATGATGAAAGAGCTGCCCAAGGTCCAGCTCTCTGGCAGCAGCACCACACCATGCTGAGCACCCAGGTTCTGTTTAGGCTTGCTGGTGCTAGATATCTGGCTGATGCTGCGAGCGCTGCAGGACTTTGTTTTAGGGGAGCCACAGCCAACAACACAGGTGCCATTCTTACGTCTCTGTCAATGCTACACCCAGTTCTCAGAAGCAAAGACAGCTTAGGACACAAAATTTCCACCTCAGTGCTCCAGTCCTTAGGGGATCACTCTTCTTTCTCCACTACAAAGTGTCCAGACGTGCTTCAACATCTTGCTGTATGCTGAGCTTGCATTCAGACCAGCAGTTTGGGCAGAAAACCCTAGCTCTGAAGGACTACTGTCTTCCCCCTCCCAATGAGCAAGGAATAAATGAGTAAATGTCTCTTATTATTTCTACTGCTGCAAAACAATTTAGCAATAGTTATAACTGAAACAGGACAATCCAACTTGAGGTCTACTGCCAAATGATAGCAAACAAAACTTCATAATGAAAAAAAAGGCTACAAAAATGTTAAAAAAAGCCCTTAAGAAAAGTAAAGCAAAAGAGTACATTTGGAAAAAAATATTTCTTACAGGGAATCTGGATCCGGGTCGATAAACGGCGTAGCACCAAATGGATCGATGTTTGCTAGCAACATTTTGCTAATAATTGAACTTCCTGCAATGGAAGCAGCTAGACCAGCCCTCAAACCTGATTAAAATAAATAAAAAAAACACCAACAGAAAAAAAATAAAAAACCCAATTTGTATTTGATAAACAGACAAACATATAATGTAAGCCACATACTGAGAGACAAAATTAATTAAATCTGTACAGGGAATGATTGTGATTCTATTTCTGGACTACTGGAGCTTTTTATTTAGTTCAATCTTCATCTCCTAACTGTCCATGATTTTCTTTGGTCCTATGCCTTGCAAATATTCTTAAGGAATATCCTTACCATTTTTACAACTGGTAGAGCCATAGTTTAATTTAACTTAATTTGTGGAAAGATCACAGCGTCACCATGCCCACTTTGACTAATATCAATGTCACTCTACAAAATACTGTGTAATGCACATAAAAAACAAAAGTACTTTCTAAAAGCTTTCAACTTAAATTGGCCTAAAAAAATGTAAGCTCAGTTCCATTATGTTTTAAATATACTAATAAAGTTAATTAAAACAGTGTTTTATGAATGCTCCCTAGTATTCGCTGAATTTAACATGAACGTATTTTTTCAACTGTTAATTGCCTTTGGGTTAGAACACTTTTTTTCCAGCTGTTTTAACTGCATAGCAGCTTTGTGTAGTTTAGTTATCCCAATTCCAGAGAGGTATCCACAGACACCTCAGAGGGTTGAACTTCACACAGCTTTGTCCCTCAGCCCTTTCATCCTAATCAATAGCCTCCATTGATTAGGATGAATGATAGAAGGATTTGGGGGTAGTGGTGGATGAAAAATTGGACGTGACTGGGCATTGTGAGCTTGCAGCCCAGGAAGTCAACTATAACCTGGCCTGCATCAAAAGAAGCATGGCCAGCAAGTTGATGAAGGAGATTCTGCCTCTTGACACTACATTCTTGAGACCCCACCTGGAGTGCTATCTCCAGGTCTAGGGTCCCCAACAGAAGAAGGACATAAACCTGCTGGAGTGAGTCCAGAGTAGGGCCACAAATATGGTCAGAGGACTGGAGCACCTCTCCCATGAAGACAGGCTGAGAGAGTTGGGGTTGTTCAGCCTGAAGAAAAGAAGGCTCCGGGATGACCTTACTGTGACCTTTCAAATTATAGAGGGGGTTTATAAGAAAGAATGAAAAACTTTTCACCAGGGCCTGTAGTGACAGAACAAGAGGCAATGGTTTTAAACTGAAAGAGGGTAGGTTTAAATTGGACATAAGGAAGAAAATTTTTATGATGAGCATGGTGAGACATGGGAACAGGCTGCCCAGAGAAGCTGTGGATGCCTCATCATTGGAAGTGTCCAAGGTCATGTTGAATGGTTTTTGAGCAACCTGATCTAGTGAAAGATATCACTGCCCATGACAGAGGGCTGAACTAAATGACCTTTAGAGGTCCCTTCCAACCCAAACCACTCTGAGATTCTGAATCATATTTTTCACCCTCCAGAATCAAATGCAACATTCCTG